TCCAGATGCTATATCTTTTGATAGCCGGACACCATCAGCTTTCTTCACCACTTTTGCTTATGTACCTGCTTTGTCTTCAGCGATTGTGTCGGAAGGTGAGCAGCATGGAATGCCAATTTAGTAGAACAAAGTATTCTTGCATTGAGGGAATACTTGAGTAGGGGCCCAATTGAACCTTTCTTTTTCATAGTTAAGGCTTTTTCTGTTTTCTATTGTTGATTGTTATCTTTTTGATTCTCTGTCTTTTGAATTCTTTTTATATGCTCATATTAGCCTTTCATTTTTAATGTCAGTTCATTTGTTATTTTATTTTTTTAATGACTTTTTCATTGTGAATTACATGAGGGTTTATATTTGGCCATCAACTCTGCATTCAGCAGTTCAAACCACTTGTCAGCCCACTCACCCCCATCTATTTACTTTGTAAAAGTGATTTGTAAAATTTAGGAAAAAGATAAAACCACCTGTAATTTTGTTGTTCAACAATGACTGTTGTAACTTTCGCTTCTCTCACAATGTGGAATATGGATTCCGTTGCAGTCCTGATATATGAGTCTTTTCAGCCTTTTGTATTCTTTTCACATGTGATCTCTCTTCCCACTTAGCTATGTCATTGCTTCATAATTACTTTTAAGCGGCATGTATTATACCATGAAGCAGCTTTGTCATAATTTATGGACTAAAAGTAGTTTACTCTCAGTCTTTCATAATACATAATAGTTGTGATGGGCATTTCTGTATACATTCCCTACTTTGTTGGTCTTTTAACTTCTTAGGAATGTTGAAAATCAAATGCTTTTATGATATGTGGGTATCTGTTGTCACTTTGCTTTCTAAAAATGTGAAGAATGGGGGAAAATTTAAGACTGGGTTTAAGTTGCTTTGCTATTTTGTTACTTAGTGGAGGTTGGGTGAAATGATTTTATTTGCTGCTCAACCAAAAGAAGCATTCATTTTTATTTTTCATTATAACTGTTAGGAAATCTTATTTTTGCTAGAAATTTATCAAACTCCAACAACCATCTTTTACTCTTGCTTTACTTTGTTGATGAAAATCACAGATTTGAGTTTGATCATTTGTTTCCAAGACCCTTTTAAATCTAGTTTAAAAAACAACCAAAACTGGTTGCCAGCAAATGCGTTCTAACTCATAACAACCCTGTAGGAGAGAGGGTGGAGAACTACCTGTAAGATTCCCTACTGTAATGTGAATGGGCAAAGACTGCCACGTCTTTCTCCCGTGGAGTGCGCGGGTAGGCTGAAGCTGCCTTTTGGTTAGGATGGGAGTGTTGGACCTAACTCCTTTGGTTTTACTTAAAGCTGTATAATTATAACTTAACATTTTAAAGAATACTAATATTATCATAGAAATTGACCTTTTTAAAGACTAGGTTGATAACTTTAGCTTTCTTTTAAATTTTACAGTAAGGAAACAGAGAATGAAAGAAGTAGATAATGTTGACAGTATAAAAGAAGAATGGTAAGTTATCATCAGAATATTATTTCTTTGTTACTAATAACTCTCTTTTTATTACATTTCACTGAGTTAGTAAATTTTTATTACATATAATTACTGTAGTAAATATCTAATCGTGTATTTTTGACATTTTTTAAACTACAAGTGCATTGAACTTTTAATGAAGTTACCAAATCTTTTTTGTCATTAATATAAATTACTTACGTATCAATAATTTTGTTATTAATAAAAAATAGCCTTAGATTTCTCTGCTCACATATGATTCATGTAATTTTTAAAAAATGATTTTATTGGGGGCTCTTACAGCTCTTATAACAATCCATACATCAGTTGTATTGAGCGTATTTGTACAATTTCTGTCATTTAATTGAGAAATCTAAGTAACAGTTTACCTGCTTAGCCTCTGTGTTATACTGTCATGGAGGCATGTCGGTAATCTAATGTCTTGGAAGGTACTACCTCCATAACCTGTGCTCTATGTAGGTAAACTTTTAAATATCAGTATCTCATCTAAAAAATAGAGTTGTAGCTATCTACCTGACATTTTTCTTTGAGAATTATGTAACAGCACTGTATTAGCAACTGTGGAAATTGAATCCATGGTCGATGTAGTCCATGATTTGTTTTCACTTGAGAACGATGAAGATTTATATTTTGACTTTTATTTTAAATGCTTGGTGGGGTACATTGCTTTCATTCACAGTCGATTTAAAGAGATAGGTAACTATATATCTCATCTGGTTCATATTTCCTTTTCCTGCACAGTTTTCCTAAGTATTCAGCATGGTAATAAAGAGGGGGAAAGGTGATTGTAATCACAAGATGATGTTTGAGCCTCATATGTGGTGTTTTCCAATTATATGTTAATCATTATCATTATATACCATCAATTTCTGTATCTGTTAAATGAAGGTAGTGATAATATGAATGCCATTTGACTATTGTGAGGAACAACGTAATACTTTGTAAATGCTTACATACCAATCAGATGTTATTTTTTGTTCACTATAGTATTTGCTTGTTTTAGATAGATGTGTAACATGTTTGATACTAATTTTATACTTAAGGAGCCCTGGTAGCACAGTGGGTTAAGCATTGGACTGCTAACTCAAGATCAGCTGTTCAAATTCACCAGCTACTCCACAGAAGAAAGATGAAGCTGTCTGAGCCCATGGAGATTTACCGTCTGAGAAACCCCGTAGAGGATAGGGTAGCTGTACGTCAGCCTCTACTCAATGGCAATGAATGCAGATTTGGTTTTGGTTTTAAGTACCTAATTGTTTGTGGGGTTGTGTTGGGTGTCCCCAAGATTACCCCCTTATTTCCTAATTCCCAGGAGGGACTCAGAAGGCCCAGCATCTACTTATGATCATGGCTATGATTTATTACAGTGGGAGAATACAAAGGAAAATCAGTAAAAAGAAAAGGTGCATGGGATGAATCCCGGGGTAATGAGGTACAAGCTCCGAAGAATTCCCCCACCCAAATCCCAGTGCTGTTGCTTCTGATGCATGGGGACTTTATGGACAGCAGATCTGCCCGCAGGGTTTCCAGAGTTGTCCATCTCTGCAGACCCAGGTTGCCTGGACTTTCTTTCACAGAGTGACTGCCAAGCCCTGCAATGCTGTGCAGCCAGGGCTTTGGAGTTACAACATCTGTGAAATACTTATCAGGAAAGCTTGTTAAGACTTAGGGCCCATCCCCTGTGGCATAATGGTTACTCCTTGGGCATCAGTTTAAAACCACAGCTGTTCCATGGAAGAAAGATGAGGCTTTCTACTCCTGTAAAGAGTTACAGGAGCAATTCTACCCTGTCCTATAAGCTCTCTGTGACTTGATGGCAGTGAGTTTTGTTTTGCGTTTAGTCACATAATAAAATGTCTGACTTTCCAGAAGGAAAGCACGTATTCAGTAGAAGCCACAAGATTTGTACAAACAGTTTAGGCACAGTGAACTTCTCAGAGTGGGAAGAAACCTCCCAAAACTCAAGTATCTAGGCCAACACTATAAACAGATGTTTCAAAGGAGAGCTATGTTAACTCTTTTCTCCAAAGGTAAATTGACCAATTTCAAAGTGAAAAATATCTCTCATGCCAGAAATAGATTGTTTTTTTAAAACTGCTTACTGAAAGGGTGCCCAATCCATACAGTTCATTGATTTTAAATGTACAGTTCATTCTTAATTCTAGCCCCAATCTAAGAACAATTAAGTTCTGATTATATGGTCCTGCTTGATGCTCACCCTCATAAAGAGATAAATGAAGATATGTGTGCTATCACAAGGGTGATGAAGACACTCGATGGTGCCTGGCTATCAAAGAGAATGGTGTGTGGGATTTTAAAGGCTTGCCTGCAAACAAGGAGCCATCTAAGTGAGGCATCAACTAAATCCACATGGAAGAAGCACACCCAGCCAGTGTGATCCAAGGATTGTAAATACTAAAATCCAAGTCTGAAGGAGGAAATTGTATCAGAATTTAAATTGTGAACACCTATTGCAGTGGAAGCCCAGAATCCATTTGCATGGCCCACACATGGATTAAGCCTCCAGTGAATGCCCTCTGTTCATGGACTAGGGATGTGAGTAGCCTTGCTAATGTGTAAAGTGCATTGGAACATAGATTATTGAAGTAGTTAGGTACTTTTGACCCTTTTTAAAGTTGTTCTACTTTTTCATGTTTTTGCTTTCTTTTCAATTGAGGTTTTTCTCAAATGTACTTTGTTATTGTTGGTTTTTTGTTTGGGTTTTGGTATGCTTTTCTGTATATGAAATCCACAATAGGTAAATCTATATAGCTGGATTCATGATTTCTTGGGGATGTGGCGGGGGGAAGTTGGGGAGAAATGAGAAACTAATAGCAATTAGTATAAGAATTAAGAAAATGTCTTAAAATTGATTGTGATGATACTTATACAGCTATTTAATATGATTGAACTATTGAATTGTATATGTGAATTATATGCCAATAAAACAGTTAAGAAAATCATAAAACAATGTGTACAGTTCGTTGGTAATGTATTCCTCATGACTATAATAAATTTTAGACCATTTTTGTCATTTCAAATATGAATGTTTGATAGTGGATATTTTGGTAAGTTTGATAGTGGATATTTCCTTTTCTTTGTTTCTTCTTTTTTCTCACGTTTTACACCAACCACTGTCTCCCTTCACCCACTTTTCTGTTGTCTGTCTCTTTGGGAGGGGGTTAAATATAGATCATTGTGATCGGTTCCCTCTTTCTCCCCCCACCTTCCCCTTACTCTCTTGATATCGCTACTCTTTTCAGCCTGAGTGGTTTATCTGTCCTGGATTCCCTGTGTTTCCAGCTCTTATCTGTACCCTGTGTACATGCTCTGGTCTAGCCAGATTTAAAAGATAGAATTTGGGTCATGATGGGTGGGGGAGGAAGCATTAAAGAAGTAGAGGAAAGTTATGTGTTTCATCACTGCTATGCTGCATCCTGACTGGCTCGTCTCTTCCTTGTCTCTTCCTTGTGACCCTCCTATAAGGGGATATCCAATTATCTACAGATGGGCTTTGGGTCTCCACTCTGTACTCCTCCCCATTCATATTGATATGATTTTTTGTTCTGGATCTTCGATGCCCGAAACCTGATCCCATCAACACCTCATGATCAAATAGGCTGGTGTACTTCTTCAATGTGGCCTTTGTTGCCTCTCAGCTAGATGGCCACTTGTTTATCTTCAAGCCTTTAAGACACTAGATGATATATCTTTTGATAGCTAGGCACCATCAGCTTTCTTCACCACATTTGCCTATACATGTACTCCCATTTGTCTTCAGTGATAGTGTCAGGAAGGCGAGCGTCATGGAATGCCAGTTTAATAGAACAAAGTGTTCTTGCATTGAGGGAGTACTTGAGTGGGGGCCCCGTGTCCATCTGCTACCTTAATGCTAAACCTATAAATATATGCATATAGCTGTATTTCCCCATCATCATATATAAATATATTTACAAATGCACATGCCTGTGTTTGGACCTCTATAAATGCCTTTTGCCTCCTAGTTCTTTCCTCTATTTCCTTTTGCTTTCCTCTTATCCCACTAGCATGTTCAGCCATCATTTGGGTTTCAGTAATTTCTCTCAGTTACAATGCCCTTGATCAAGCCCCACCAGGCATCCATCCTATGCCCTCCTCACAGTTGATTATACATCATTTGTTGTTCCCTTGTCCCTGGGTTTGTTGACACGCTGCCCCCACGCACACACAACTGTCAGTCCCTTTGTTTTCTCGATTGTTTATCCCACCTATCTTATATAGATAGAAATGCAGTGACAATAATGTGCACAAAAACAAAACAAAAGAAAAGCCAAAACAAGAAATGACCGAAAAAGAAAAGCTTATAAATAGTTCCAAGTCTGTTTGTTGACCTTTAGGAGAATTTTCCAGTCAGTCTGATGGGTTGCCACGTCCTCGTCCCACAGTCTATTTTTTTTATTCCCTGGGGAGTTCATTGCTTTGCGCCCCTTGCTGCTCTGTTGCACACGATTAGTGTTTTGCCCTGGTGATAGAGGACATTTCTACATATGCACTTAGATGTGCTGCAAATATATCCATGAATAAAGTAGAGCATATGGGGGCATTAACCATAACTAAACACCTTGAGTGAATGAGTTGCTGGGCCTAGGGGCTCAAGAACATAGTCTTGGGGACCACCAAGGTCAAGTAGCATAACATAGTCCACAATGACAGTGTTCCACGTCCTACTTTGGGGAGTCGCAACTGGAGTCTTTTGATTCCATTTTTCCATGAACTTTTTGAAGCCACCTTTTTGGGGATCCTCTGGCAAAGCTCCCTTGCTTTTTGCTCAATCTGCATCTGATCTTGCATCTATCTAGTTCATCATCCGAGCTCCAGTTGTTTAAACTTGAGGCAGGCTACTTGGTATTACCTGCTGGTCCTGGCAGTCCTTAGCCCCAGCAGTGTGAGTCTGCAGCCTGCTGCGTGACCTGCTAATCGTTTTTCATCAGCCCTTGAAGTTACACTTGTCAGGAGAAGCTTCCAGCCTGGCGTCCAACCCACGGACTTGGAACTTATATGTCTACAACTGATGGAGCCATTTCCTTAAACTAAATCTCCCCATATATATGCATAGACAAGCTTCGTTGGTTTTGCTTCTGTAGAGAATCCAGCTTAAGACATCCATAAACAAAAGTAGGAAACTCTGTCATTGAGGATGTGGAAAAACTGGCACCCTCCTCCACTGCTGGTGGGAAAACGAAGTGGGACAGGGGCTATGGGAAACCATTCAGCAGTTCCTCAAAAAGTTGAGCATGGCATTACATATGACCTATCAGCCCAAATCCAAGGAATATACCCAAAAGATGTGAAACAAGCCATGTTAGAAGTCTGGATACTAGTGTCCATTTCAGCCCTTTTCACAAGAACCAAAAGGTAGAAATAGCCTCGTTATCATCAGCAGATGACTGAGATAAGCAAAACTGTGGTACCTGTATAGAGTGGAGTGTATCACGCAGCCATAAAGAGACATGAAGCCTTGAGCCAATGTAACAGCATCGATGCACTGAATGATAGATAGTACAACCACAACAAGATAGTACTGTATGAAGTTACCTGTATGTGAAATCGGCTAGCGGGAAACCAAGCATCCTCATGGTTGCACAGTCTAACCGAAACCCACTGTCACTGAGTTGGATCCTGACTCCTAGTGACCCTGTTGGACAGAGGACAGCTGTTCCGTAGAGTTGCCAAGACTACATCTTTACGGAAATCGAGACCATCATCTTGTGGGACGCAGTCAAGTGTTTAATTCCTTGTGCCCTCAAGGCCCCTTTACCAAGGTATAGGGAGTTATTGTTTAGGAGGCACCAATTTTTTTTAAAATTGGGGGCTTGTACAATTCTGATCACAATCCATACATCCATCCATTGTGTCAAACACATTTGTACATTTGTTGCCATCATCATTCTCAAAACATTTGCTTTCTACTTGAGCCCTTGATATCAGCTCCTCATTTCCTTCCCCTCCCTCCCCACACCCCCTCCCTCATGAGCCTTTAATAATTTATAAATTATTATTTTGTCATATGTTACACTGTCCGACGGCTCCCCCCACCCTTTTCTCTGCTGTCCATACCCCAGGGAGGAGGCTATACGTAGATTCTTGTAATCGGTTCCCCCTTTCTACCCCACTTTCCCTCCACCCTCCAGGCATTGCCACTCTCACCACTGGTCCTGAAGGAGTCATCTGTCCTGGATTCCCTGTGTTTCCAGTTGCTATCTGTACCAATGTACATCATCTGGTCTAGCCAGATTCATAAGGTAGAATTAGGATCATGATAGTGGGTGGGCGGGGAGGAAGCATTTAAGCACTAGAGGAAAGTTGTATGTTTCATTGTTGCTACCCTGCACCCTGACTGGCTCGTCTCCTCTCTGTGACCCTTCGGTAAGGGGGTATCTGGTTGCCTACAGATGGGCTTTGGTCTCCATTCTGCACTCACCCTCATTCACAATGATATGATTTTTTGTTCTTTGATACCTGATCCCTTCGACACCTCATGGTCACACAGGCTGGTGTGCTTCTTCCATGTGGGCTTTATTTCTTCTGAGCTAGACAGCCACTTGTTTATATTCAAGCCTTTAAGACCCCAGACACTATATCTTTTGATAGCTGGGCACTATTAGCTTTCTTCACCACATTTGCTTATGCACACATTTGTCTTCAGTGATCATATCAGGAAGGTGGGCACCCACTGATATGATTTTTGTTCTTTGATGTCTGATACGTGATCCCTTCTACACCTCGTGGTCACTCAGGCTGTTGTGCTTCTTCTATGTGGGCTTTGATGATTCTGAGCTAGATGGCTGCTAGTTTACCTACGAGCCTTTAAGACCCCAGACGCTATATCTTTTAATAGCCAGTGGAGGCAACACGGTCATGGTGATAGAATAATTTGGGAAATAAAAGTGACAGTAGTTGCACAAAATGGGTGTAATCACTGTTATTGAATTGTATGTAAAATTTGTTGAATTGGCAAATGTTTGGGTGCATATGCTTTAGTGAACCAGTATGCCTGTGACCTCCCTGCTATCCTTCTTTACCCGGGATTCTGACAGCAACCATTCCTTCCACTCCACTCTGCTTCTGTGCTCACAGACAATACTCACAATTAAGAGGGTTTATTAGGGGAGTTAGGAGCCCTGGTGGTGTAGTGGTTTCACATTGGGCTGTGATATACGTGGCCCAAGTTCGAAACCACCAGCTGCAATGCAGGAGAAAGGCTGCGCTTTCTACTCCCGTAAACAGTCTCAGTCTCAGCATTGGCTTGATGGCAGTGAATATTAGGGGAGTTCACAAGTTACCACAAGCCAGGATTAGTTAACAGTAAAGACACAGTCACTGGTCCACAGCAACCCTTGTCCTCAGACAGCAGCCAAGCCCGTTTCTGATCCTCAGCCTCTCAGCCACTTGGCCCCTTGACTTCTGTCTCTGTGGGTCAGAACACCAGCCTGCTGCTCTGCTTCATAGTCTCATGGCCTCCACACTGCTTCTGTTCTGTCTCACAGCCTCCTCCCCAGATAATTCTCTTCTGCCTCTGATGCCTCTGGTCTCTGTCTTCACCACTTCAGACAGAGATCTTGAAACGTGCTCCACTTCCAGTGCTCCTGCACTTTCTCTGTTCCTGCTTCAAGGATGGTTCTCCTTCTAGCCAGGGAGGTGGTAACTAAAATGACCAATCCCTCTATTAGTTGTTACACACGCCCTATTCACATAGTCCCACCCAGTCATCTACTGGAGTGACAGAGAGCTGTATTAAGAAATTTCTCACAAGGATCGATGTATAACCCCCTCCCAGGGAGACAAACAACAGAAAAGTGGGTGAAGGGTGACAGAGGATGATGTAAGATATGAAAATAATAATCAAGGGTTCATGAGGGAGGGAGGGGAAAATGAGCTGATATCAAGGGCTCAAGTAGAAAGAAAATACTTTGAAATGATGATGGCAGCATATGTACAAATGTGCTTGACACAATGGATGAATGTATGGGTTGTGATAAGAGATGTAAGAGCCCCCAATAAAACTATTTAATTTTAAAAATAAATAAAAATAAAAATGTTTTACAGTCTATTAAATAAAAAAGAAAAATAAATTTCACTCCACCGTAATGCTTGTGTCACAATAAAAACAAGCAAATAATGATAGTGGCAAGTAATAAAAAGATAATAGAGGTGGAAAAGGCACATGAGAAAATAAAGTTGTAAATATATTAGTATTTTTAGTATTAAAGAAGACTTCAAACTGATTCCAACCATTTCATCGTGACCTACAGAAGCAAAGTCTGGCGCTGGTGCCGGCTCAAAGATGACAACTGGAACACATCACAGCGGTGTAGTCAGTCACCATCTCCAGGAAGGACACTGCAGCCTATTTCCCAGCCCCCAAACCACTGCCGTTATGTCAATGCCAACTCATAATGACCCTGGACTGTAAGTCTTTACAAGAGCAGACAGCCTCATCTTTCTCCCAGGAAGCTGCTGAAGAGTTTAAACTGCCAGCATTTCAGTTAGCAGCCTGATGCTTATCCCTCAGTGCCACCAGGACTCTGCTTGGGTCGTGATTCCATTCAACACACATACTGTTTTTGTTTCCATCGGCTGTGACTGAATCATTTGGAACTGGTTTGAACCCTTGATATTAAAACAGGCCCTCGTACCTCACTATGTTCCTTGGATTTTGTTATATGTGAGATTAATATAATAAAAGATAAAGGAGATCCTGGAATTATCAATAAAATATTAAAGTTAATATTTAATCACTAAAATAAAATGTTAAATAATATTTGGGGTAATTTCCCACTCTTTGCCTATCTCACTAGGAGTGCTGTATACTTATTCAATGAACCCAGAGACCCAATTAGATTACATAATTTTCTTGAAATATATCTTATAAATATTTCACTGTAGCTATTTTCTTTTGTAACGGTTTATTGTTTTATTTGCATTTTCATACTTTATGAATGAGATTGCCCATTGAAAGCTTTTATTTATGATGATTTAATGCTTTATTGATTTTTACTTTGTGTTTGCATTTTCGCCCTAACAAATATGCCATAGGACGCTTGTGTTAGTAATGATGATTTCTTTTTGAAGGTTGATAATAGAAATTTTAGATGCTCAGTTTTGTCGGCTTTGTGCCTAACAGTTGGAAATTAGGCACCAATTGCTTTCCAAACTGACTCAAAAATTAAACTGGCTGCCCTGGAGTTGATGCTTACCCCCTGTGGGGTCTCTTAAGATTGTAACTGTTTACAGGAGTAGAAAGCCCAGTCTTTCTCCCAAGGAGCTGCTGGTGGTTTTGAACTGCCGACCCCACAGATCACAGCCCAATGTGTAACCACTAACCCCTAGGGCTCTGAGCTTTTCCAAACTGAAGGCAGAATCGAATACAGAAAGCATAAAGTAATGTCATCTGACATTTGAGGTGCATGGTGTAGCAAGCACCACGTATACGCCTTTAGATGTATTTTCACTAAACTTTCATAGCAATGACGTGAGGATGGTACAGACACCTGCATCATGCAGGTGAGGACCCGCATCACAGAAGTTTTTCCAGTTGCCCCAGAGTTGCACACGGAGGGAGCATCTCAGGTCAGGATCCTTTAACTAGAGCAGTTCAAAGAATTAGTCGTCCATTCTTGTTTTCTTCTTCTTTAGGGTATGTGAATCGGGATCTCAGAACCCGCCTGTGAGTGATAATCAGCAAAGGAATTGTGACTATTTTGTGGATAGCCTTTTTGAGGAAGCTGAGAAGGTTGGAGCCAAATGCTTGTCCTC